CTTTTCTCATTGTCTATTCCCATAATGTTTATGGGTGAGAGTTTCCAGATGGGGATGCGGGTAACACCTGACACATTAGAGTCCCATACTTACACCACAGGGAAGTTTCATCCACAGTGGCTTTTGTATTCCAGTCACCATCCTCTTCTCTTCACAGTGGCTTTGATGATGAGCTCTTTACTTTTCTCCTTTCTTTTTCAGGTCTCAGAACCATCTTATTCAAAATATTTATATATATTTTGGTTAAGATGGAACCCACCAAATGGCTGGTGTTTCCTTACATGGAATATTTATCTACAATCTGCATCGAGTGTTTGTGTGTATTGGGAGGAGGGGGGTGTACAGAAAATGTTAAGCCCACCCGCCCATGCTCAGTGTCTACTTTTGAGATAGGATTTTCTGTAAGATTGCATCAGTGATATCTATATATATATATATTATGTTCTAGGCTATTCTGCACTTGTAGTTAAAAAAAATTACAACACCAGGTATGTGCTTGCCCTCACACCAGGCTTGCTTCTACTGTCTTTAATTGTGTTAACTCATTGCAGTGTCTCACAGTGGGAGACTTAATTCCAGATTATTTTGCCTACTAACACGGTTCAAGCACCTCTTTGGTGTTCTCTCCCATGCAGATTCCTCCTTCCCTGTTTCTTCTAGTTGAGTTTTTAGGGGTATTCCTGATTTGATTGAATCATGTGCTGAAGCTGCCTGTCATCAATCTTGCTTTCATCTGTAGTTTCCACACTATTCCAAACCCAACCCTCCACCACTGTACTTCTACTTAGTCCCCAGTTTCCCATTTTTCAATTCCCACCTCTCAACTTTCCTCTTCTACCCATCATCACTCTCACCAAGCCCGTCAGTGACTACTAAGTCAAGTTGGTTCCTTTGAGTGCCCATCTGTCACATCTGTATGAGAAACTGTGGTCACACTTTTCTGTCCACAGAAGGGTTACTTTAATTTTTACCCACAAACTTTCTCTCCAATTCTTTTCCCTCCCCCTCTTAGCTCTCAACCCATTTCCTTTCTTTTTTCCACCATCTGATATCATCTCTCTGTAATGTCTCAAGGAGGAAGTGCTTGTCAACACTTCCAAATTTTTCCTCACTCTCACTCAATATCTTATTCACCTGGGAGTGTTTTTCAACTCCTTTCTCAGCTGTGCTCAGCCTTCTCCCATCTGCCCATGAGCTATGACACTACTAGTCATCAGGATTTACACCTATCCTACTCATACTGCATCAGAAGTTTTCACTTTTGGGGATCATGGCTTCATTGGAACCACTTATCTCTTTGGATCATACACATATGTGCCTTCTCCATTGGTCTTTGCATGACCAGTGGAACCACTCATGGGAACCTATGACTAAAATCGTCTTTGCATGACCAGTGGAACCACTCATGGGAACCTATGACCTCAATGGTTCACTTGTCCCTCCTCTACTCTAGGATTTTTATTAGTGGCTCGACCTATCCAATAACACCATCAGTGTTCCATTACTCCACCCAAACTGGACCTGCACCTCTTCACTGATGCTTCCTTCTCTGGTTGGGGAACATCTCTGAACAACAATTTTACATCAGGCACATGGACACAGGATGAGTTCTCCCTCCATATCAACACTTGAAATCCTGGTAGTCCATCAGGCATGCTCCCATTGCCTACTCCTCCTTGTGGATTATTTCATTATGATCCATTCCAACAAATCCATGGTTTTTCCTATATTAACTGCCAAGAGGGAACCCAGTCCAGGACCCTTTGCTTTCAAACCCTGGACCTTCTTTATTGGACCAATTCTCAAAATATGTCTCTCATTGCCTGCCATGTACTGGGTACTATTAACCTGGTTGCAGACTGCCTCTCTTGGCTGGACTATGTTCTGCCCATGAAATGGTCTCTTCACCCTCAGGTTTTTGTGACTCCACTCCTTGATACCATTGCCACCCCTCTAATTTCCAAGCTTCCTCTCTTCTGGTCTCCTGTTCCCCATCCCTTGGCTCTGTCTGTCAATGCTTTCAGCAGACTGGTCTCATATTTTGCTTTACACTTTCCCTTCTCTTTGTCTTTTACTTTGAT